CAAGATATTATTGGCCCACTCTAATGAAAGATAGTGCAAAATTTGTCAGGAAATGAGACAAATGCCAGAAGCATGCCAATGTGCATCATGCTCTTGTTGAACTCCTTTATTTTGTCACATCACTCTGACCATTCTACCAATGGGGCGTGTACATTTTGGATCCTTTCTCACTGGCGTCCGGTCAGCTAAAGTTTCTAATCGTTGGACTAGACTATTTTACAAAGTGGATAAAAGTTGAACCAACCTCCAAAATCACAGCAAAAAGAGTTAATTGTTTATATTGGAAGCGACTCATGTGCAATTTTGGTTTTCCAGAAGTTATCATTTTAGACAATGTACTAAATTTGACAACTCTACCATGGTCTGAAGAAGTGAAAAACACAAGAAGGGGGTTGAATTGAAACTTAAAATCAAAAGCGCAGTAGACACGATATTTTTATCCTGGTTTGTTTGATCTCAAACTACTCCAGTCCACCCGCCAAGGTGATTTCGCCTCTCTCCAACGAGGACTTAATTCACAAATCAAACTTGATTACAAATCTACTTTAACAACTGTTAAAGTCTTCTTGAGTCCAAAACCACAACCCGGTTTTCTCAAGGAAATTCACTAAACAGTTAATTGAATAAAAGTGTACAATGATGTTTCTAATAAATAGTATCACAAACTTGTGATGTTTTACACAATTTAATATTGAACGTTGATGATGAAGATTGATAGCTGCGTTGTTTACTTTTCACGTAAGTTTTTCTTTTTGAGCGCAGTTGTTCATCATCTTGAAATCTTCTTCTTGTCTGCTTTATATAGGCCTTGCAATAGAGACTTAAGAAGATACTTTTGGTATGTCCATAACACGCGTTAATGAGCTTTCCAAATCAAGAGATCCTTGTCTGTTTGTAGTCGTTACTTATGATCTTGCATTGATAGATTGTAACACTTCAGAGCTTCTTACATCAGAGGATGAATATTACCGTTGAGATTTCTTTACAGTTTGATCAGAATTTTGCACATCAGAGTATCAGAGATTCTGTTTCGCAACGCTGGTGCATTCAGAAGTTCAATCAGAACTTCTTCATATAAGTGTGTCATGCATATTTGATGCGTCTGAATCTTTCATTGTCCTCTTAACTTCTGTGCTCGCATAATCAGAACTTCTGGTGATGTTCTGGCAGAACTTCCAGTTGCATTAGAACAACTTTTTCACATCAGAACTTTCTGCATGAAACGGTAATTTTATTAGCGAGCATATTTGTTCTTTATATCATGTGTTTGTTATCATCAAAACTCTTGCTGGGATGTAGGACCAAATTATGTTCTAACAATCTCCCCCTTTTTGATGATGACAAAAACTAGTATACTTTGATGGAATATAAAGAACAAAAATTAAAAGGAAGGCTCCCCTGAGTAGAGTACTCAGCTAACGAGAAAATAAAATACTTCCCTGATGATCTTCTAATTATGAGTCAAAATATTCTCCATTCTCCCCCTTTTTGTCAAGAATCAAAAAGTGGTAAAGACTCTGATTGGCTTGCTCTGACAGAAGTGCTTGAAACAGTGTGACATCCTCTTCTGGATACATATGAGATTCTTTACAAAGCTTCTGATGTTTGTATTTCCATTCCTGTTTTAAATAGTTTCAGAGCCAGTAATCTTCTGTTTCTGATTTCCTCTGAAACCTGCGGATCTTTTAAATTCCAAGCTTTAGAACATATGCTTTCTTTCCTCCATGTGTAGAGAGCATCCAGATTCCAGGTGTTAATACTTGAGTTTCAACCTTGCTGTTAAAAATATATGCAACATAAATTATTTTTTCTTTTGGTACCCATATCTTTCTGGGTCCATGACTGTTAGAGTTTCCAAAATTCTGTTTGAATTTTGGTTTAGTATAAAACGCTTTACCAACATGTTTTATATCATGTGTGTTGCCCAGTGGTGAAGTGAGAATAGAGAGAAGTGCGTTTGATAACCAAATCCTTAACTTTCTTAGGTTGGGATTCTTTTCCTTTGTATCCTATACCTATTCTGCCATTCCTGCTGACTCCATAGATCATTGAAGCCATTTTACTTCTATCTATGTTGTTAGCCAGAAACTTCTGAAAGCTTTGATCATATTCCTTTATGATCTTATCAGCATTACTGGAATCCTCTGAGATTATTTCTTTCTGAGAGTTTTGTAAATCATTTTCTAGTTTGAAATATTTTCTTTTAACTTAGAGTTTTCTAATCTCAGACTCTCGGTTTCTTCAGATTCAGAAACAAGATCCTTTTTCAGGTTCTTGAATTTGACTTTGAGCTACTGATACCTTTCCAGATTCTCACTCAGACTTTCTGCAAGTTCAGCTTTAAGAAAATTAACAGTGAAGTCAGAAAATACCTCTTCAGTGTCTGATTCTGAGTCTGAACCAGAAGCTTCAATGTCTTCTGACATGTTTGCCATGAGAGCTATGTTTGCTCTTTCATCATCTGATTCTGAGTCAGCTTCAGAGGAGTCCGAATCGTCCCATGTTTCCATGAGGCTCTTCTTCTTTTCCTTGACGAACTTCTTTTTGGGATTCTCCTTCTGAAGCCTTGGACTGACACTTTTGTAGTGCCCTTGCTCATTGCACTCATATCAGATGATGTCCTTGTTATTTGGATTTATGTATCCTGAAGAACCTTCAGATCTTCTGTGTGCAGAGGAAGACTCAGACTTTCTGTATCTGTAGGAGGATTCATTTTGATTCTCTGGTCTTCTGGGATTTCTGAATTTCCTTTGTCTCTGCTTCCACAGTTGATTCATCCTTCTGGAGAGGAGATACAATTCATCTTCTTCTGATGAGGATTCTCCAGATTTTTCTGCTTCTGCTTTTGCCTGCAAATGTTTGGTTTCATATTTGTTAGATTTCAGAGCGAGAGACTTACATTGCTTCTGAGGCTCATCATCTTCTAACTCTATCTCATGGCTTCTGAGGGAGCTGACAAGTTCTTCTAGAGATATTATGTTCATATCTTTTTCCAGTTTGAGAGCCGTGACCATTGGTCTCCATTGTTTTGGTAAACTTCTGATGATCTTCTTTACATGATCAGCAGTTGAGTACCCTTTGTCCAGCACCTTTAGCCCTGCCACCAGAGTTTGGAATTTAGAGAACATTGTTTCAATGGTTTCGTCTTCTTCCATTCTGAAGGCTTCATACTTCTGAATGAGCGCAAGGGCTTTGGTTTCTTTTACTTGCAAGTTGTCTTCATGCGTCATTCTCAGAGAATCAAACATGTTCTTAGTTGTTTCTCTGTTTGTGATCTTCTCATACTCTGAATATGAGATAGCACTCAAGAGAATCGTTCTGACTCAATTTAAGGTCTTGCTTGAGAGACTCAACTTAAAGTCTCGTCTGAGGGACTCAATTTAAAGTCTCGCCTGAGAGACTCAACTTAAAATCTTGCCTAGGAGACCGAACTTCAAGTATTTCATGAGGGAGTCAACTTAAAGTCTCTTCTGACAGACTAAACATAAAGTGTCGCTTGAGGAACTCCAAATAAGAAAAATAAGATAAAACACTTTGCCCTTTATAAAAACTTAGTACTTTAGGGATTGTGTATCGGTATAAATGCAAAGGAAAATAAGGAAAATAAAGTAAAACACTCCACTCTTTATAAAGACCTCGTGCATGAGGGATTATGTATCGATATAAGTACAAAGGCCCCTACAAGATGGGGATCTCAAAGTCTCTCAAGATAGACGATGTAGCGTGTCGCCCTTGCGAGAGATTCTCTAGCCGTCCGTTTATTGGGAAGGGTGTCCATTTCTTGATTATATCATTTGTTTCTTAGATTACTTGCCCGTTCGTGAGGATCTGGGAAGTGACATTCCCCAATCCATAACGGTGCAAGAGAGGGAGTCAAAAGGGGAAGATCATGTTCTCTTGTATAATAGAGGAGTTGATTACCCACTTCTCACACTCTTGAAAACGATTATTACTCTCTTAGAGCTTAAGGTCCAGATTCAAGAATTTATAAAAATACTTTAATCCTGAGATTTAAAAACACAACTTAAGGTATAAACATTGGCCAAGTATTGTTCACACCAGAAATCAAACTCGATATTTCCTGAATATTGTCCTTTGCAAAAGCTCCTTTACCGCTGAAGTCCAAGTGCTTGATTAGGGATCATCACTTTTAGCAAGTAAATAATGTGATATTAATTTGACTAAAACAAACAACTTGGAATGCTCACCCCTATACCCCACACCCAAATTTTGAATGGATTATTCATTATGTCCTAGGTTAATTTTTTTCTCTTCATTTCAAGCATTTTTTTTCTGCTTATTTATATATAAAAAATGCAACAAAAGAAGTGAATCATTTTTTTAAACTTTCCCCTGTGGTCACCTTAACTACATTGCAAGCAAAAAATTATTTCGTGTTTCAAAATCATTCTGCGTTTTGTTTTATAAAAAACTTACATATTTATGTGAAATATACAAAAAATATAACATTTGTGATTTTGAAACTATAATTCTACTGCATATTTATGCTAAATATGTCAAAAACTTAAGCAATGAACATTGGTTTACCCTATGCCCTATGAGAGTTTGACATCACTTGAGATTGAGACATATAAGATGATGCATTTCATAGTAAAATAAACAGATCCAACCATAAATAAATTGTTGCACCTATTTTGAACGTGGTTAAGAGATGTTCAGCATTGTTGGGGCAAATACAGGACCCAGCAACAACACCAGCATACTTATAACAGCTTTAACATTACAAGTTACAACCAAAATTGGGTTTGCAAATAAAAAAAAGGATGCATAATAAAAACAATAAGCTGGAGTTGCTTGAAGAGTGCAGCCTGATTTGGACAATAAATTTCTCAGAATTAACATACATAGTCTGAGTTCAGCAGCAGACCCTTTTTCATATTATTCTCAGGCCTACTATATTCACTGGTGGATGATAAGTTGGACAAGGGAGCAGTAGCAAAGTTTTGTTCCCTGATATATAACTGAGGTTTCTTCCTTTGTCATTGCGTCCTTTCTAGAATAATGCACCAGTTGGATTTATCAAAAAACTGATCAACAACTCTAGCATTGCTTATCCCATTTGTCAAGCTGCAAAAGGGTATGAAAAAGAATTAGAAATGAGAATTTCATGTCGCACATAAGCATGTTAAGTCACTTGAAACATACCCTTTTAAAAATTGAATATTTATTTCTGAAACATAGGGTACCAGGACCCTTCAGATTCAGCTATCATAAATTTGTGCTGTACTGAACCTTCAGATTCAGCTAACTAAATTAAGCTGAGAAGATGCATGATGGTTTATTTCAGAATACTTGGCTCTCTTTGTTACTTTTCAAGACCAATTCTTATACTTATCAAATGACTTCTAAAAATCCTTATCTTCTAATAAATAGTAGAATGTGGAATCAACAACATCCAGGATCAATCATGCCAAATGGGTAACTTACTTTAACTACAACAACAACAACCAAGCCTTATCCCACTAACTAGGGTTGGCTACATGGATCAACTTTCACCATAATATTCTATTCGTATCCAGAACCGTGTTTCTATACAAATCGTTAATCTCGAGATCTTTCTTGATAACTTCTCTTATTGTTTTTCCAAGTCTTCCTTTACCTCTAGTTGTTTGACTTCTCTCAATTTAATCTACTCTCCTTACGACAGAATCTACAGGTCTTCTCTCTATAGGTTTTATCCCAAAACTCTCTCTACTATTGTCATTTTTAATCTGATCATGTCTAGTCTTACCACGCAACATCTTCATCTTCTACACTTACTTTATTCGCGTGTTATTTCATGGGATAAAATATTCTCTAACACTTTCAATAATAAAATTCTCAACAAACTATTACACTCATAGACTTAACCCAATGGTTTACAAGTTATGATAAACTATACAAGCAATGGACTAAAGATTAGTTTCATTTTACATGAAAATTCATAATGGAGGAGGGGTTTAGAATCTATGATAAACTAAACAAGCAATTATTAAGATTTGTTTCACATTTATATGGAAAATTCTATTGGAGGGAGTAATATTAGTACCTTTCAAGTTCGCCTTCACTAAAAACATGATAATATCTGTTATAAATTACAGCACCCTTTATATCATCTTTAGTAGCAAGACCGGTAGCCAAAGCATGAGCAGAAGCACCACTAACTTCAGCGCGATGATAAGGTAAATGCCAAGGAACAAAATACTCCTGCTGATTCTTCACATTCTCTTCTTCCTCCAAATCTCCCAAAACTTCAGACCCATTGCAAACTTTCATCTCAGCACTGACAGCACTCTCTTCACTTTCCGGAATACTTTCCAACGAAGGCGATGAAGTCAAGCGAGCAGCCCGTGGACTTCCGGAGCCTTGCCACTCTTCAACATACTTATCAGCAAGCGGAGTCCATTTGTTAAGCAACGAGCTATCCTCTTGTTCAACCGCCCAAACCGTAATCAAAACAAGACCACCCTTTTTAACAACTCTAACCAACTCTTCAATCGCTTTCCTCCTTCTATTCTCAGTACTCAAATGATGCAACACTGCAATAGATATGGCAGCATCGCCGAAACCAGTTCTATAAGGCAGATTCACAGCATCTGCTACAAGAACTTCATGTCCTCTATCCAAACATATCTTAATCAAAGAAGGACTTATATCACATCCTATAAAAAAACAATCTTGATTAAAACCTAAATATTTCCCATTCCCACATCCTGCATCAAGGATAAGAGATCCTGAAGGCAGGGATGAGAGAAATTCAGCAACTTTCGGCCATTTCGCGAACCGGGTTGAACTGAAATGCGGGGCAATTGCATCGTAAACACTATGAACAAACTTTTTCTCAATTTCAGGGGTGGATTTCACGCTTATAGATGATGGGGAGTTTTCTGTGATGCAGGGATGTTCAGATTCGGTGTTTATTTGTTTCATTGAATTGAATTGTGAAATAACTATTGGAGGTTGATTAGGTTTATAGAGGAAGTGGATTGGTTTCAGTTTTAGGGTACTGAAAGCTATTTTGTTGATTACGGTTCTGGAACTGTAATAGAGAAATAACAAAGATGAAGAAAAACCTGGACGGCTTTCTCACGCGGTGGTCCCGGGGAGGTGAGTTCAGAGCGACTCCAAGTAGTTTCTGACACTTGGGGGGAAATTGTAGCGGCTGCTTTTTTTTATGGAGCTGTTTTTTTCTCTCTCTCTCTAGTCGGCGATGGGCCTTCTCAAATGGAAGTGGACTGGCCTTTGCAATAAAATCACACTGGCATTACTTTTTCGAAAAGGGAATTTTTTAACGCATCTCATATATTTTTTAGCGCACTGCGCGAAAATATAAAAATATTTTTAGTTTTTAGAAATATATTTTCAGAAGCACTCTTAGTCGGATCATTGATGAACAAGATCTTATTTAAGAGAACAGAATTAATCAGATATACATTTACGGGAGAGACTCGTAGTTGTATCTCCGGAAGCACCCCAACTGCAGATCATAATTTAGCCTAAGAAATCTCATATATCACGTAGAAATATTCTGGAGTTACACTTACGGGAGGGATCTGTAGTTATATTTCTGGAATGTATTGACACAAATACGTTCGCTCGTCTCTTGTCCTTCCTCACTTTCAGAAACATTTTAAACAAAACATCAAAACCCTCTCAAACCCCCAACAATTCTCTTGTGCGAAAATCTCATCAGAAATCAACAAACAACAATCATGTATCATCTAACATTAGTGTTGAAGCTTCATCAACCAACAAGAATCATATTTTGAAGTGAACTTGTAAGTGTTTTTTGAGCTTTTTGAGTTAATGTAAATGCATTTAGAAATTGAGTTTTAGGTTAGATAATTGAAATATTTTTGGTGTTTGCAAGCTTAGAAGTATGGTTAAACATCTCAGTAAGGTTGTTTTTTCGATCAATGAACATTTGTTTGAGGTCTTAGTAGCCCAACCTTCGCCATTGACGAAGTAGAAAGTTGCAGGTAGTACCGAAGATACATTTCCAGAATTTTTCAATGTTTACATAAAAAACCGGAGATGTATCTTCGGTATTAGTTTGTCTGTATTTTTTTCCTTTTTTTGAACATGAGTCGTTGTGTAATGTTTGTTTTGTACTTCTACATGAGTTATGGGTGAAAGAGCATCTAGGTTGAGACACGAAAAACTTGCACAACATGCTTCAGTTTGGAGGGAAAAAGTAAAGTATCTCGGGTTCCTTCTACCTCATGACATATTGTGGCGGAGGCAGCTACATGTTTTGGTGTTAACGTTTCTCCACCTTCTTCTTCGTTCTCCCGCAACATGTGAGGTTCTCCTACTCGTGCCTCCTTGTCTCCATCTTCACGTAGACGCAATACTTCACCTATGGTATTTGAGGCATGAGAGGCATTACACTCCCAATCGACACCTGAGGCCATACAATCGATGCATGATGCGTCTTATTCTCAGTCTCAGACGGCACCTGAGGCATCACAAGCGTCCCGACCCCAGGTCTAGGTACAAGAGGTTGCACCTTCAGCCACACAGCTGGTGCCTGATGTATCCCAGGCCTAGGCATATGAGGCTGCACCTAGGAAACCTCAGAGTTTTAGAGGAGAGCCTTCTAATTTATCATTGCTCCCTCTATACTCGAACCATGTTGTCCTACATATTTGGGACGAAGAGGTAAAAACTGGTTGAAACTATTAGTTTTTGTAGTGTTTATTTTATTATCAAGGTTTTTTTTTTGTAGAATCATTATTGTTAAACCATGCGAGGAAGATGTGTCGTCTGGAAGCACCCAGTGAGCCATTGTTTCGGGATTTCTTGCAGCTTTCAGGGTTGAAAGGTTTGACTCTTTATGAATATATTACCATTAATCATTGTATGATTAACGCTTTTATTGAGAAATGGCATCAGTAGTCTTCACATTTGTATACTTTGGCTTGTATTTTGTTTATCGACTTTGGATTATATTTGGATAGTATTTTGGTTATCGATATTATCGACTTTGAATATATTTTGTAGTGTTGACTATATATATATATATATATATATATATATATATATATATATATATATATATATATATATATATATATATATATATATATATATATATATATATATATATATATATATATATATATATATATATATATATATATATATATATATATATATATATATATATATATATATATATATATATATATATATATATATATATATATATATATATATATATATATATATATATATATATATATATATATATATATATATATATATATATATATATATATATATATATATATATATATATATATATATATATATATATATATATATATATATATATATATATATATATATATATATATTTATGTCGTGAATATAGTCTTGATAATGGTCTTTGTATTTATTTTGTAGTTAAAACATGTGAAACTTTGAAAACTATGGCCTGGTTTTGTTTGCATAAATTTCGGAAATGCATCTCCGACACATTCCAGGATATGTATCTCCAGAATAAACTGAAGTTTAACAAAAAAATGAGTCCGGATATGTATCTTCGAAAACGTAGGGACTTTTTGGGAATTATATAGGGTATTTCTTGGGTATATAGGGTGTAATAAGAAATCCCCTTTCGGGAAATGCTCATTCTATCCTTATTTGTGCCTCTAACACCTTTGAAAATTCAAAAATAATATTCTTACATTCAAAGATGTATCTCCAAATGCACCTAAATCACAACTAATATGAGCTATTCTGAGTTTCACCATATTTTAAACAAAATATGGTCTGGAGATGCATCTCTGTAAGGTATTTGGGTGAATTCAAAGATGCATCTCCGAAATATACCCTAAAAGGTATTAAAGTATGGTGAATACAAAGGAGGATTATTTCAATGATACATCTTCGGAGCCCTCTCTGATTCACATTAGACCAGCACCATTGTCAAAACATTTCTTTTTTTAGGGAAAAATGCATACATTAACTTATATTAACGTAAAATAAAAGTAAATTTAAAGTTAAAGAAGGATAAACATTCATACATTAATTAAAAAATATTCAAAATAATTCATACATAACAGGTGTCAGAAAATACATCCAAAAATACCAAAAAAAAATATAAAACATCCCAATATAAACTATTGGATATGTCTAACTGTCTGCCTTTTCTTTTGCCTGTTTCGCACAATATTCCGCAAATCGGAAACCATGGTCTGCACAAAGGTCAACTAGAGAGAACCATCCTCAAAGAGTCTTGCCTCTGTGGCTCCTATACACATCTTAACAACATGGCGACATACTGTTGTCATGCTCTCTGCCTGCTCATCCTGAACTTCAAGTACCTTGTAACATCCCTTTTTTTGTTTAAATTATTTTTAATTAATTAATTATGCGATGCGGTGATTTTGTGTGTTTTAATGAATATCAGGATGTCTTGTTGTGCTTTGGCGAGAAGTGGATATATTAGAAATTATAGATAATTAAGCTTGAGGGTGTATGACTAATAACATAGAGACATAAGGGTGTAGAGAGATGTCTAGTGTTTTAGTTTATTATTATTATTAGAATAACAAGATTAATTATTATATAATTATAATTGAAATAATAATTTTATGGATGAGGGTAAAGTTGGAATTAAGATTTAGGGGTCCAAGGGTTAATATGGGGAAAAGAAGAAGTGAGAAGAACTGAACGTGAAATTGATCATGAAAAGAGAGAAGAGCAAAAGAGTGCACTTGAGGCTAGGGCAAAGGAATTCATTGTAGAATTTTAGAATCATTAACCTAAAGTAAGGGTGAGATTCTAACTTTATAACAGGTTGCATAATGATGGATTATGGTAGTGATTAGGTTATCATGCTTTTGTATTCTGGTATTTTACAAATTATGTTTTTGTGTGATTGAATGTTTGATGAAATTGTTGATAAATTGTTATTAATTGATGTAATGGGTGATGTAAATTGAGTTTTGAAGGTGTGAAAAACACAAGAAAAGGGGGGGGGGGGGGGTTGAATTGGATTTTTTAAAACAAAATAATTCTATTAAAAATATTCCCCATTTAAGTTAAAACACTTTTTCCTTCACTCTTAATAATAACAATAAGTAAGAATAAGAAGTAAAGAACAATGGATGTTTATACTAGTTCCCTTGAGAATTATCAAGCTAGCCTAGTCCACCCGCCAAGGTGATTCTGTCTCACTCAATCAAAGACTTAATTCACTATAATAAAACTGATTACAATTTGCACAAGCTACATGCAAGTGACTAACAACCTCTAGACTCGCAAGCCCTAGACTTCTTAAGGATTCACACCTACCTGGTCCCTTAAGGAATATCAACTAATAATCAACCTGATTATTACAATGCACAAGCTACCTGCAGGTGACTAACAACTTCTAAAACTCGCAAGCTCTAGACTTCTTATGGATTCATACCTACCCGGCCCCTTAAGGAATATCAAACAATAGTTTGAATACAAGTTTTGTTTACAAGAATATTGCTTCTAAAAAGCTGAGTATGTAAACTATTTTATGAACAATGACTTAAGAATGTGAAAGCAATGAACAACATTTGCGCGTGAATATTTAGTTTGTTGGTTGCTTTCTTTATTAGCCTTCAAGCCTTTATATATAACCATTAGCATAATGTACTCGTTGAGGGATACTCTTAGAATTTCCAGAAACATTGGCAGCTTGAACATTAACGTGGGGGACAAGATCGTGCGACGCATTCATTCTTTTATGATAGTGGAATGAAATGTTGATTGTACCATGTTAACGTTATCTTCTATCCTTCTGCACTTCAGAGGCTTCTGTGAGCATGAGTTTAGAAGCGAGAACATAACATCAGGTCTTCAGAACTTCAAGTCTTCAGAGTCTTCAAAACTGCGTCATCAAAGTCTTCAACACTTGGTCGTGAGAACCTTTTTCTTGGAACCTTGGG